ATATCTTTTTTAACTTTTCTTAGGTTAAATAATGAACTTCCATAGGGGTCCTTTATTGACTCTTTTATAATGTACATCTATTATTGGGGCATAATGTTATCAATACCCTGACATAAGGCTGTCTTGAATAAGAATGTAATTAAATGCAAATAATATAAAAGGAAAGAGAAATGGTTGAGCAGCAGCAAAGTGGGTGGACTCATTACAGTAGTCTGGATGACCTCAAAGACCTGATTAGAGACAGATTGTCATGGAGAGAATCTACAGGATCTAGCGGTCAGAATAATTGTTTTGATAGCATTAGTGACGGGGTTTTTTTTTAGATTTGCAGGAGAGCAACTGTTATTTCAGCTTCACTAAATATAAATGCGAACCAATGCATGAGGGAAATCATGACATTTGTAAATAGAGATGAAAACATTTCTATCTACTGCAGATTTTGATAGAATTTCATTTGCCATATGTTGCTTCCTCTGACAGGATCTGGGGGAGCTGACTAACCTTGCGGCAATTGAAAATTTTTTAAAAAAATGATTATAGAGTTTCACAGAAAAGAAGCAGAGCATACCCCTAGTGTTGTGGTCCGCCAACAGCCTGCGGAGCTGGCAGCAGAGTCAGACAGCGATGAGGCTGAGGAAGAACATGGGCCAGTCCTAGAGTCTGGGGAAGGCTTGGATGAGGGCTCTGCGTCAGAGGCAGAGTTGGGGCCAGGGCCATCGGGAATGAAGTGCAGACTCCAGAGTCTCCAGAGACTGATAGTAGTGAGGCAGAGGAACAGGAGGAGCCTGTTCCTATTGCACGCATGAGAAGAGCTGCCAGAAGGCAAGAGCAGCTCAAGCAAAGAGGACAACTCGGGAGTAGGGCCAAGAGATAATTATAATTTTATTTATATACCGCCCTTCTCCTGAAGGACTCAGGGCAGTGTACAGACAGAATTAAAACATAAATATACAATATCATAGTTAAAATTAATTAAAATCATTAAATAGTTTTGGCCGAATTTTAAAACCCAAAATTAAAACCCAATTTAAAATCATTCAGTTAGACAGCCCCGCTTGTCGGAACAGTACAGTCTTGAGGGCACAGCGAAAGACCTGAAGGTCAGAGATGTTATGAATATCCAGGGGCAATTCATTCCAAAGGACAGGAGCTCCGACAGAGAAGGCTCTCCTCCTGGGTGTCGCCAGCCGACATAACTTGGCCGACGGTACCCTGAGGAGTCCCTCTCTGTGGGAGCGAACTGTTCGGTGGGAGGCTGTTGGTGGCAGAAGGCAGTCCCGTAGATATCCTGGTCCTATGCCATGGAGCGCTTTAAAGGTGGTGACCAACACCTTGAATTGTACTTAGAAGACCACTGGGAGCCAGTGCAGCTCACGCAGGAGAGGTGTTACATGGGCCTAACAAGGTGCACCCGCGTGGCCGCATTCTGGACCAGTTGGTGCCTCCGAGTGCTCTTCAAGGGGAACCCCATGTAGAGAGCATTGGCCCCTCCCATAAGGCTTAAAACAGACCAGCGATGGCGTTTGGGCTTTGCCGGAAAACAACGTTGGTAGCTTCATCTTCTTCATCTACATCTTGCATTTATTTTTGTATCTGTGACTTCTGAATGTTTGCCAAGAAAGGCCTTTGGCAGTTTGCCTAATTGGATCAAGGCTTGCGATAGGACTGAGGAATTTGTGTTGGGAGGAATTTGCTTTAATTTAGTTGAACGACGCTGGGAATGAAGTAATTCTCAGCTGTTCAAATAAAGTTTGTTTGTTTTTTCACTAACTGATTTTCCTACTACTTACTTGGGCCTGGGTCACAACACCTAGAGCAGAAGGAGTATGAAAAGACTCCTTTTCATACTCATGCTTCATACTTTCCAAAGAACTGCTGAGAGCTAGTTTGATGTAGACACCCGGCTAGAAACTGGGAAACCATGAATTCTACTCCATTCTTAAGTAAAACACTAGCTAGATCACTATCTGACACTGAGTGTTGTATCTTATGATTTATGATGATTGTGTTTTATGATTATGATCCTAATTTATCAGTTGTTGCTTATATATATGCTGAGAGCTTATGCACCGGGGACAAATTCCTTGTGTGTCTAACCAAACTTGGCTAATAAAGAATTCTATTCTATTAGATGATTTTTGGCCCTTTCAGTCTCTCTAATAGCTCTTAAAAGACAGTGGTAAACCACTTCTGAAAATTTTGCTAAAAAGGCTGTAGAGGCTAGTCCAGTGATGGTGAACCATGCGCGCACGCAGCACCAAGTGCCAAAAAGGGAGCACACTCATCAGGGCCACAACCAGGAAGAGGAGCTGCCCAGGGGGGCATATATGCACTGTCCAGCAAGTCTTCCAGTAACTACCACGCAAGCACACGGACAATCAGCTGGACAGCGCACGTGCTCATGCCGGAAAATGGAAGACCAGCTCTTCTGGTTTCTTCCGCATGTACAAAGTCCAGCTGATCATTGCTTACGCATGCGCGCCAGAAACCTGGAAGAGGAATGGGTGACACTGCGCGCATGCCAGGCAACTTTGGGCACACGTGCCATAGGTTCGCCATCACGGGACTAGTCTAAGCATTCATTAAGAGTCAACTCTGGTTCAAAGACACCAACATGCAAAAACCCTTTTTAGAATAGGAGTACCTCCCAAAACACAGAACTAACAGTTTGGAATATAATAATGGTAGCACCTAGTCGGGGTAAGACACTTGTGCAAGGTGAGATATAAATCAGGATTTATTTATTTCATTTATTTATTTGATTGTCATCATATACTGGAAAGGGCTTCAAAATATGTAAGCCAGAACATAGAATTCTTTGGGTTGGCTCAAGCCAAACTGGCAGGCTAGACACTGGCACTGCCTTCTTCAAAGTGGAGGCATAGCTTTCAGTCCATTAGATCTGCTGCTCTTCTGTTCTTACTGCCTGTTTGCCTCTTTACTTCTCTAATCCAGACAAAGAGAGAAAGATAAGATTTGTTGGACTTTGAGAAAGAAATTCCATTTCAAGGAATTCAAAGAAAAATCAGCACCCCATTTAGAAATTCAAAGGATGAAAAGAGTTCAAGAGAAAGAGCAAATTGGGGACAGCGAAATGGTATAAGCATAATCTCAAACTGTTCCAATGAAAAGTGAAAATGACAGTTAAATAACTGCAGCTGCATCGACAGTTCTCTGAGGAGTTAGTTGAGCCTAAAGGAAAGTATTTGTAGGCAATAGACAGAGAGCTACATAACCAAGGTCAAGGCACACAAAGTCATACAAAGTGAAAGAAAATAGTACAAAAACGTTAACAATTAATATGTTCACCCTTGCCCAAATGACAGGATAGAGCCATCAGACAGAGAAGCAAATATCTACTTAAAATTTAGGAATACCTGCCAACTAAGTAGTAACACTTTTTAGCACCAGAAAAGAGTGTTTTTTAAAATATTTTTGGTTTTGCAAAGCTATTAAATAGCATTTGTCATGATACACCATACTGCCTTATGCAGAGAATGGCAGTAGTTGGCCTTCAAGGTATTTTATAATTTTAAATTAAAATTGGTTAAACCAGGTTAACCTATTTGCTTTGTCCCTATCTGTGAAAATTGGATTCAGAAGTAGAAAGATAGTCTAGGTCAGGGGTGTCAAACTGGCGGCCTGCAGGCTGGATGGGTCATGTGCAGACCATGCCCACCCAGCTCCATGAAGGTAAAAAAGTCATGATATGTCACGTGATACAGCAAATTTGACACCCGTGGTATAGGTCAGTGATGGCTAACCTTTTTGCTGTTGTGTGCCAAAAGCTGGGGGAGCCCGGGTCGTTGCGCATGCGTGTGCCACGCTCTCCCTTCGCTTTTGGCACACGATGGCACGATGGGCTTGGTAAGCCCGTTTTTCACCCTCTCCAGGCTCCAGAGGCTTTCTTGGAGCCTAGGGAGGGTGAAAACGGCCTTCCCCACACCCCCAGAGGTCCTATGGAGGCTGGAAATGGCCCATTTCCTGACTTCCGGTGGGACTGGAAGGCCTGTTTTTTCACCCTCCCCAGGCTCCAGAGCCTTTCTAGGAGCCTGGGGAGGGCAAAAATGGCCTCCCCCCCCAGAGGCCCTCCAGAGGTCAGAAACAGCCTGTTTCCAGACCTTCGGTGGGCCCAGAAGGCCCAAAAATTAGCTGGTCAGCACATGCATGCATGCTGGAGCTGAGCTAAGGCTCCGCGTGCCACAGGTTTGCCATCACGGGTATAGGTAATGTAAGTGGAAGGACAATTAACAAAAAGACCTCTTGGTTTTTGGGGGATATTAATAGGAAGGTTTATCTTATGATCAATTATTTTATTTTCTAGGTTTATATCCCTTTCCAAATGCTCCCATTTCAGAGGCTTACGTATCTCATCCTGATAGCAAGGTTAAAAATGTAGACAACAACATCAGTCAGTTAACATTCCACTTCTACACCAAGGACAACAGAATTCAGTTAAAAATAAATACCATAAACCACAGAGGGAATGCGTGTAAGAGCCAGGATCATACAGATCTCAGGATGACAAAGTTCCAAAGAAAGGGGCATTGATTTAAAAGACTGACTTCTGAAGTTCCTGCTAACATTCTTTGATTTGACTGCAGGAAGAATTTGGAGAAAATTGTTTGAAGATACTTAGGTCTTGAGCTCTGCAAGGCTATATGAGCCATGAAGGTTTAAATGCTTGCTCCTTGCCTGGAAATATTTTCTCAGTCTTCTTTCTTTGCTTTATATTGCATTAGGAGGTACAATTATCCTCAATAAATGTTTTTTGTTTTCTTGTAAACAAATTAAGCAACATCTGCTGCTTTTGAATTTTTCTTACCAGGAGTAGGGAACAGATTATAGGAAATTCAATCTTACTTTTAAATGCTACCAGTATTGTTCTTTTCATTGTTAAACTTCTCTCTATAATTTTCCTCCTCACAAGTGGTATTGGCTGTTTCGTTTTTGACCAAGAAAGTATTTTCAGTTCATGAAATCCAACAAAAACAGTGGAACTCATTAACATATTGTTTATTTTTAATACATAAAATTTCAGTTGGAATATTTAAGAGATTGGAATTAATACATTCATTCTTAATGCATAAAATTTCTAATGGAGTATCCCAAAGCCAATTGTATAGTGTTAGCTTATAGTAATATATGAAAGTAGGGTATAAATTAAGATATAAAAATAATTTTTAAATCTTTGAAGCATCTTCATTTGGATTTTCATCTGGATGGCAAGATTCCAAATGAATTTCTAAATTTATTTAATTTATATGGCTGACCATGTCATATAAATGATTGGGTAGCTAACAGTTAAAACAGAATAAAAACAGTAAAAATAATTAAAGTCATAAGGAAATATAAATAGCATAAAATAGCAGAGAACAGTCATAACATCGCACACTCCAAATAACTACAAAATGGCCCATAGTATTAGAGCCCCAGGCTTGATGGCAATTATGGCAAAACCAAATTTTTAATGCCTTGCAAAAGGCCAGCAGGGCTAGGTCAAGTCTGAGGGGGGGGGGGGGGGGGGGAAATGATGTTCCAATTAGTCCAATCTATGCTTAAATGTCTCAGTATAAGAAATCTGCTTTGCTTTTGGACAGCTCTTTTTATTAGGTAGCTTTTCTGAATGTTCAGCAAAGTCTGCTTCTCTGCAGGTTACATCCTGCTCACTGAAGCAATCTAACTCCCGCTCTGCTTGCAGAAGCAACAAAGAACAGTGAGTTTCCATTTTTAATAGTCCTTCCTATAAAGATATTTATAAGAACATTTGGGCTTCTTTCTTCTTATTTTCTCCAACCAAATATACCCAGATTTTTCAATTGCTCCTCCAGGACTTCCTTACCATCTTTGCCATTCACCTTAGGATCATAGGCATCCAATGTAAATTTTAATTAAAAAAGAAGACGATGCAAACCTTGGCCTCTTATACATATACATCAACACTGAGTGAAAGTACTTAAGTCATGGGAAGGGAGTGTTGTGATGTAACAACAACACAGTCCATAACTTGGCCAATTTTGAACCCAACCAGAAACACCTATGTTTAAGATATTCTCTTGTTCAGCATTCCCAACCTGGGTGCCCTCCAGACCTGTAGACTTCAGTTCCCATAATTCCTCAGCCAGGATCAACTTTGCTGACAATTTAGAAAATTGAAATCCACATATTTGAGAAGTGGGCTCAGACAACCAATAACAACCACAGCAGCCTGTCCTCAAGTCCATTCAGGAAGTTAAAATTGTATTTAGAGTAATAGTGCATTCATGTAAAACTAAGCCTTTTGTCTTGGGCTATTCCAAAGCATGTCCTTCATGGCACCTTTTATATAACAAACCCAAAAGAAGTTTGAAGGTTCAACAAAAATTTCTTTAATAAATAATAATTGCTCACAATTGTTCATGAGTTTCAGCCTGCCTACCTGTTATTTTTTTTCTGATAAATGTACCTCAACTCAAAATTTGTTGGAAGTTGCATATATGAAATATATTTATTTATTGGGGCCAGGCATCTACATGGCGGGGGGGGGGGGGGATTTAAAAAAGTCAAGATAATAGCCAGAATCATGTTATCAAAGCCCTGCCCCTTTTAATGTACATTATATATTTGGCACAGTCTACAGGTAGTCCTTGACTTATGGCCATTCATTTAGCAATTGTTTTAAGTTGCAACAGCATTGAAAAAAGTGATTTATGACCAATTTTCACACTTACAACTATTGTAGTACGGTGATCAGAATTTGGAAACTTGGTAACTAGTGAACATCTGACAGTTGCAGCATCCCAAGTTCACTATCTCCATCCTTCCCAGTGAGCTTCCGAAAAGCAAAGTCAACAGGGGAAGCTGGATACACTTAATGATTCACTTAAAACTGCAGTGGTTCAATTAACAATTGACAAAAAGGTCATAAAATCAAGTGTGACTCACTTAACAACTGCCTTGCATAGCAACAAATTCTGGTCCCAATTGTGGTTGTAAGTCAAGGACTACCTATACCTATGATTATAGACATCATGTTCATCTTTTTTTAACATTTCTTTCTGCAGGACGACTGGGATATTGTTGGAAATACCAGTTTCACATTAGGTTAGCTTCCCTTCCCTTCTTTTTTCTTTCTTTATTTTTTGAAAATAAAATTAAATAGATCAGTGAGTGGTGATCATCACAGAACATATTGAAAAGGATATTATATTGGGAATGCATAATCTAGAAAAGTATGTAATTCTACAAATCCAACAAATGCAGTTAATCTGCAATGATTAGTACATACATTAATTATAGTTGTTCCACTAAAATATAAAGATCAGGCAGTATTGGGGAAATTACAAGAACATGATTATTAACTAGATTTTATATTAGCTTTCTTTCTTTGTTTCACATTTACAGGAAAATTGTCTTGCTTGTGTAGCAGAATGGTCTTGCTATGGAATACAGTTAAACATCCTTGAGCTATGATATCGGTAAACAGAAGCAGGAAGCCAGATATTCCCACGTACAGTTTAAATAGCTGTATCTCCCTTGTAGCAGGTGATAGCACCTTTAAAACTTGGATAATCTTGAAATCCTAAATAGCATTTAACCTGGGTAGTACTTTGATGAGAGACCACCAAATATCTCAGAATCATAAGCCGGGCTGAGAAGTTGAAAAAAAAAAAATCTTGGAAGAGGTCAAAGGCAAACAGTTTTTCTAATGTTATTGAGAAAATAACAGATGCTTTCTTATAATCATTTAAGAAGCAGATTGATTTGAGAAAGAATGTACTTTTCATTATCTTCAGAAGGGGCTGGGAAAAACACTGCAAAATTCCAAGACTATTAGAGGCATAGCTCAGAATGTGACCTTAAGCGGAAAAATTCAGATATCAACTCTTCTCTGACAAATCTTGCATGCCTTAGTTTTCCGACCATGTTGAAGACCTGGACTGAGATGCTATTCCATGCACAATAGATTTCCTTCCTTGGCTTCTCATGATGAAAGGTTTGAAAAAGCTGATCTCTGGGAAGAAATGCTACAGACTTCTAAATTTGTAAAGGAACTCCCAGCATCACTGGTGTATTCTGGATAGGAGGAGCTAGAGGAGATGATGTTTTTCAATCTCTGAAGTGCAATAATTAACAGCAAAAGAAGGAATGCCAAGAGGCTAAGGAAGATTGAAACATAAACATAGACGTTTGACATGCGATTGGAAGGTGAATCCATGGATGTTGAGAGAGAGGTGGGGTACAGCTCCAAAAAAGTTCCATTTTCAATATTTGCTATTAATCCAGATGTGGAGTTGAGTTCCGACATTTTAAAAAAAATATTATTAATATGTGTGTTTAGTAACACAATGGAAAAGACTTAATAGTCAAAAAGAATTTTCTGTAAAACCTGTGGCATCTTGAGCCATTTTAGTAGTGATTAAATCCTTATAGCAGATTTTAACAGCATGTTATGTCTTGGTGCTGTAAAGAGATAAAAATCGAAGGAGATAATGAAGCAATAGCATTTGAAAATTAATTTCTGTTGACAGTTTTATTCAATACTATTTTGAAATGATATATTGTCATATATAAAAAACAATTTCTATTTCATGTAGATTAAAATGGAAAAAAAACAGGCATGGATATTTTGAATACATATTTTACATTTGCAACCATGGAAGTAATTTAGTAGATAATAAAGATTGAGAATCTGAGCTGTGCATACTGCTGTACATCTTGCAATTAACCCACAGTAAATTAAGTTCTATAATGCTATTATTTAGTACTGATCTGGTATTTTTTTGTTAAATATAAATATAGAACTACAAATCAATTAGCACATTTCTTTGAATTTTCTGAGATATTTGAGAATTGCCTTTTTGATCAATCAAATGGTAATTCAATGCGTAAGTTTATAATTTGGAAGCTACATTATTTATTCTTGTTCCAAACATGATTTTGTTCTTCAAATCTTTGTCTACAACTCTCATCATCATATTAGAATAATAGAAACATCATCTCTGGTTGAGAGTGATACTTAAAGGAAAAACAAATACACATAGAAATGGACAGAGCCACTGACCACAAGGATTAACAGGACCATATCAAATTAATATCACTTAGAAAACACAAAAAATACCTTTGAATGTCTTTTGCTTTGGTATAACCCCAAGTAAGAACTAATTTTTTTTCTTCCCAGAGTTGTTTTCATGGAGATAATCTGCATGGGAATAGATGGCTGATCTTTAAGCACTAAATGCAGTATAGAACTTTTTGCTTTTATGTAGAGGGTATCTTAAGCCTCTAAGTGTAAACATTTTAATTTAAGCAAAGGTTTCATATGTAACTGGTCTCTTGCTGCTAAAGTCGACGAAATGTTGGCTTTCTTTGTGGTCTTTTATAGTTAGGTTTGGGTTGGAGTTTTCATAATGCTTTTCATTGTGTTTTTAATTACACTTCTCTTTGGTTTCTTTAAGTACCCTGTACTGGTTTTTAAAAAGCATGTAATGCTTAACAAGAAGGGATAATGATATGCCAAATTTTCATTGAGCTAATTTTCCTTGAAACTATGCACTGAGAGAGACAAGAAAACATTCGTTTAAAAACCCTAATTGTTTTGTATGTTTTGGGACTTGAGGAAAGTATAGCTATTGTAATCTGCTGCTCTTATAGGATAATTTAAAATTGTTCCTCACATAGCAACTGTTTGAACTTATAATGGTGAGTGGTACTTATGACCAGTCCTCACACTTACATCGGTTGCAGTGTCCCATGGTCATGGGATCATCATTTGTGACCTCCTTTGCCAGCTTCCTACAAGCAAAATCAGTGGGGAAGCTGGCAGAAATGATGGCAACTACATCATTGCTTAATGACAGCATGGCATTCACTTAACAATGGCAAATAGCGCCAAAAGTTCTGTGACAATGTGACCCAATCACATGACATCATGCTTTATAACCCTGTAACTTAGTAACAGAAATTCCAGTCCCAATTGTGTCATTAACAAAGGACCTCTTGTACTACTTTTCAGGGAAAAGAGAAAATATACTGCAAATAACTTTATTTAAGCACAAGTGTGCAAAACAGAATGGAATAGTAAGATACAAAGTAGAGAAGCTTATGATCTCTTTTCAAATACTGGAAGAATGTAAACACAAAAGAAAATTAAGACTTCAGAATAGGGAATGATTTATTCTACAGATTGCAGCTGAATGTTAGAAAAAACTTCCTAATAGCAAACAGTAGCTTGAGCTAAGATTTAAAGGTAGTTGACTATCTAAAACAGCAGGCATGGGAAATACTGCATTTGGAAAGTAAGTAGGGATATGGTATGATTTACCATATGGAATTCTGGATTGGCTGGAGAATGCCCCATTGCCCCTGTATCTGTTACTATTTGTTTATCCTATTTTCCAATCAACAATTGAAACAAAACAATAGAATAGTTCTCCTTGTGTTATACTAATTGATACTACTTCACATCTATTTGGTAATATTGGTAATATTTTGCTTTATTTTCTTTTTATGCTACACTGATAAATCTTATCCACAAAATATGAAATGAGTTGACAATGCAATAAAAATAAAGCCTTATTTTGTTTTTAAGTGGCAGCTTTCTCTTTGCAATAAGAGCCTTGATAGTACAGTGGTTTAAGGCACCCTGTTATTAAGCTGGTTATTAAGACCAGCTGCCTGCAATTACTGCAGGGTTCGAATCTCACCAAGGCTCAAGGTTGACTCAGCCTTCCATCCTTTCAAAGGTAGGTGAAATGAGGACCCAGTTTGTGGGGGCAATAAGCTGACTTTGTATAAATATACAAAAAGGATGAAGGCTATTGCTGAGCACATTGTAAGCCGCCCTGAGTCTTCGGAGAAGGGCGGCATATAAATCAAATAAAAACAAAAAACAAAAAAAAAACAGGAAGCTAATGGAAACATTTACATGCAACCATTCTTTGAATTACATATATTTGAATACCTATATATTAAGGCATAATTGAGCAAACATATTCAAAGAATGCAAGCGAAACTGAATTTTTCATTTAATACATCTAAAGAGGATATGTAGCATTTAAGAGTTAGATATGACCCAGATATGAGAATCTGAAATAAGGTTCTGATGGGATCATGTCACTCTTCTACTACTGCAATAAATTGGATGTTCATTCAGATAACCTTGTCTGCACAATGACATAAATTCTCTTACATTTTCAGTCTCACACATTCCTATCTGCATAATTTGATTCTCTCTATTTATCCACCTGTTTCTGTGAAAACACAACTTACAATTTACTGATTTGCAAAGCTTGTCCAAAAATTGTGTACGGAAATACAGTACAATTTAGTACTTTGCCTGGAAAAGAAGTTCTCAGTGCAAGTAATTTGCTATACCATCAAGTCTTGCTCTATCACCTTCCAATCAGGATCAGACTAAAATCTGATGAATCTACTGGAGAATTCTATCAGTATTTCTTACATCTACAAAAGTATTCCAATACTTTTCAGTCTTTTTTCTAACTATTAAAACTGCTTAATTGCATTTTGGAGAAAATCTGCATTAATACCAAGTACCTTTGGTCCTCCAGGATAAGCTTTTTTAAAACAAACAAACAAACAAATTAAGTAGTGGATCTAGGAACACTCCAAGCTATATGATTTTGTACTGTAGAAGATAAGTCTAGCAATCCCAATGGTGGCATTTCCTCTAAGCAGATTAGCATGTGCCAATTCAATGTCTATAGAGATTCTCAGTCATCCAAGTCATGGTTGTCTCAAAGGTGCTTTTTCATGAGGCAACTGGACTTTCTTGTTTTGTTTTGGTTTTTTGTCTTTAAAAAAAAAAGGAAGTCCAGTTGCCTCCTGAAAAAGCACCTTTGGGTTGGCTTTTGTTGGCTAATGTTTAGTAGATTCCAAATTACATAAACCATCTTTAAATAGTTAATAATAGAACAGATTTTCCAATGAGGTGGTGGGATCTATTTCATTGGTTATATTTAAGAAAAATCTAGCCAGCCATCTGTTCTGGCATACAACCAAGAACTGAACATTAGTCTAAATGACTCCTTACAGTCCCAGTTACAATTTTACAATTACAGGAAATAAAATTCCTTGGTTTTTTTTCTAACTTATTAAATTCAGAAAGGAACAGTAACTATTTGAGCTTTACACACGTTTTTAACTTCTCTGTATAAGAAGCGCCAGTGGCCTGATTGACATTTGCAGAATTTGCACAACAGTTACTATAAATTTTTAACTAACTTTGGGAATTTAGCAAGACAGATGAAGAGAGTCTCTGTCTGAGTTTTGAACAATGTATATATTTATCCTTTTAGTAATTTTCAGGTATTCAGTAAACAAAAGCTATAAATTCATACATCTTTAATGAAAATAGGGACATCTTCTGATTTTACTGTAATGAGAACAAAAAGCAATATTCACAATGAAGGAAAATTGGTGCTACATATGAAGCACATATTCCAAAGCTCCTTGATTGTGGATATCCATTAAGATATGGGAGATAATTTTTCATGTCACATTGAAGTATTAATGTCAATAATGTAAACATTATTATATCTTTACTGCAGAGTGCAAATCTCATTACTCCCAGACAGACTGATAGTAAACAAGTTATCTAAGAATGATATGCTGATGTTCAATATGATTAAGGCAACAGATTCTTGACAGGTTTATAGGACAGGAAATTTTGTTGAAAAATCTAAGACAGATCTGGAGTGAGAGTTAAAGGTACAATGGACATTGACTAGTATTTTTTCAACTTGGCAACTTTAAGATGTGTGGTTCTCGACGCTGGCTGGGGAATTCTGGGAATTAAATTTGCCAAGGTATAGGCATATCTTATATGAAATAACTATATTTGAGTGTAGGGAAGATCAACTCATAAATCAGTCTATAGATTTTTCTCCCAAATTTCCTGGTAGAATCTCTGTAAACTGCAATGTTTTATGCTGTAAACATATTTAGAATCAGATAACAATTCTCTTGGGCTGGATTTGAATCCCTTGTTATATCACTTTTATCCCTTTTGTCTTGGAATCACTTAACCCTAAAATTGGCCCAAATGTAATAAAGAAAAATATCTGATGTAACAAGAGCTACTGCATAATACATCATTCATATCGAACTCTCTGGATAATTGCATTTATTAGTGCAGAATACCATTCCAAAAAATTAAAGATAATGGAACTCAACTACACCCTCTATTTTAGAACTGGGAACTGATGATACTTTCAAGTTTAATTATGGAAGCCTCACTTCATATAATAGAAAGCTACAATTCACCATGCACACAATATACACGCAATCTACTCCCCAGATGCTTCAAATCATTTCCCAACCACTTCCAGTTTTCACTTCATTGTTTCTATTTTCAACCAATGAAATTCACTAAGCATGAATGTGTGCATCATTGTCACTATATGAAACTAATATAAATTCTTCCCCTTTGCTTCACTTCTTCT